AATGCGCTTATTGGCGATCGCATAATGCTACCATTTTTAAGCTGTAATTGTATCTTTCAACGCTTTACACCGGTGTTTTTAAGTGTTTTTTTCATTTTCTTCTGTATATTGTATAAAATTTTTGCACAGGGTTAGTTCCTATTTGATTATTAGTATCCAGTAGTAGCATCTCTGGCGTTTCATCTCTGGTTGTTCTTGGAGAGTGTTTTTTATTGTACGATGCTTTTGCTCTTATCATTTTGTTTAGTATCACTGCTGTAATCATCAGTTTTGTTATTATTGCTTTGGCATTATCACAAACTCTCCTAATGCTGTTTCGAATCTCAGGGCGGCATAGCGGCGCTTGATATAAAAATCACGATTGCACGCGCATTTGTAGTTTTGTAGTAATTTTACTCAAAAATGCTTTCATAATTCATTTTTGGATTAAGCGACAGATTGATTGCTTGTGTTTAAACGTGCATTTTAGTGATTTGGGATCCCAAAAAACTGGATGGCGCATCACTATGCTTGCTCGCAAGTTTTGTGAAATCAGCTTTTAGCCGGTTTTTTTTGTGTGTGGCGCTTTCCTTTATCTGTAATTTGATACGCCGCGCTTATAAAAATGTATAATTTGTATATATTTGAATGTTCATAAATAAAAATAATTTTCGTGAACTGACCAGATCCACTAATGATGATGCGTCACGCAAGTTACGGTACTTAGCCCTGGTCGTTTTTGTGTTACACTAGATTTGAGTGAATTAAAACTGGGCTAAGAGACACGCATGACAGAAATAGTAATATAAACAGGAAGAAACCGAAATCATTTAAAAATATAGAAAAAAATCAGCTAGGAGAAAAGCTGAGTTCACTAAACTGGATTTATTCCTGCGCTCTTGTACAGCCGAAGACACTTGGGCTGGACCGAGGTGATAGGATTTTACTGGCATCAATCAATAGTTCATAAAGTTTTTGTTAGCTCTTCAAGGAATCTGTTAAGTTTGCGTACAGTAAGGTGGCCATCGCTGTCCACAGCAGCCAGTGTCATAAACGACCGAAACGTCTTATCTCACTCTTCCCTTTTGTTCTCTCTTAATTGCCCTTCTGCGTTTGGTGTATATTTTTAATGCATCCAAGCCGAATCTGGCTGCTACGAACTAATCCCAAAGTTACGTTCGAAACAAATCAAATGATCCGGACCACGCATAAAGCTGCACGATCTAGCAATGGTCATCACTTTGATGACATTCAGGCAACACTCGAGCACTGGGTAGCATGCTTTAGAAGTGACCGCAACCGGGCCAGCCTGTGACAGTGTGTTTTACTGAATAAAGAACCATCCCAGTAAATTGAGGACGGGGGTTTCACGCTCAGCTTTCGTGAAAACTATTCCCTAGTGATTATTGAAACGAGTGGAAATGACAATTTCGCGTTACGTTTGTGTGTGCCATCATCATTCCCTGCTGAATTGCTCTCGCCGCGTTTTCACAACTGTCCGTGTCGATTGCTCCTCGATACGGTAATCGTTGTGTTGTTACCTCCTCCTCCTCCTCCCCCCGGTAGCGGCTACCAAGGGTGGAGTGAAGTGGTGGATGGATGGAAAGGAGCGCATAATTGCGGTGATATATTATGCCCGATGACAGGTAATCGTGGTAATCGTCGACGATTGCGAGAGGGGCGCGCAACGGCGAACGATGCTCGGTCGTCAAGGCGCCATCTTTCACGGCACTGCCTTTTTCCTGCTCACCATGCAAATTCACCCACCGGGTGCCATTATTCTTATTATCTTATTACTATTACTGCTCACTCACTCACTCCTCTTTCCGCGACTGGCCACTTCTCCAAAACACAATACTCTGCATAAAAACGACACCCCAGTTAGTTGGTCAAACGCTGAAATGAGTGACACAGGTTGCCACAGTGGTCTGTATTACTATGATGACCATGTTCTAGTTCTAGATTTGATGTTGGATCGTTGAAAAAATGCGCTCATTTCAAAAAATATCGATGAAAAATTGATAGGGTCAATCCAAGCGTTTTTGCAATTTGGTTTTTTAAAAAAATCCTCATCAGCGACAGTTTTCTCCTCAACGTTAGTATAACTCATCAGTGAAGTTTAACAAATAAGTTCTATTAAAGAGTGAAGGAAGTTTTCAAATTTTTCTGCGAAAGACTGCTGTTAAGTCTTTGAGTACTAATGCCATTCGTTTAGCGGTCGTTTTGATGAGTAATTTTCCCGCCGAAAATTTAAGTGCCCGTACACGAGAACCACGCGTACATCGGTCACTGAAGACAAGACGTACAAAAGATTGAGAGGGAAGTAGGTGATAGCCCAAGATTGGTTGTTAAACGATCTTTCTTGAAGATAAGTGATTAGTAGGATGTGATTTGTTAGAATTCGGCAAATTCACAGGGTTTTCTACTTGTTTTGCATTAGTAGTGAAGGCAGTGAGGGGTATCAGATGTTGGCGCTGTGCGGTAAAGGTAGCAGCACAAGTGTTTGGAATGCTACACTAGGATGTGGCGGATATCCGATATGCGATCCGTATGCCTCTCTCGCTGTGTGTGTATGTTCGCTTCATCCGGCATACATACGTGTATACACGTCACATCGATGACTTTAACAGCTTTGTAAATATTGAGCAGCACAATTTCGCGGACCATAATAGCCATTGGGCTGAGTGGAAATCCGAGAGATAAGTAGCGGTAGTAGTACTGGTGATGTACAATGTCAGAACAAGCAAACAAGAGAGCGGGCGGCCGACGTTCACATCAATCTACAGGTGCGCCAAGAGTCCCAACGTATGCGGCGGCTAGCTGATGAAATCTGAGTCCTGAGAAGCCTTGCACTGTAGCAAGTTTTCCGCTGAATATCCGATACTCTGTACACATTAATCCGCTGGTTTAACTCAGTGAACCATTACGGGCAGGCGTCTCGAGCCCATGTTGCGCCGACTTTCTAGAGTGCTCTTGCACCACCAAAATTACTAAAACTACTCGATTTGAACTTTCAGTGTTATTAAAAAATTGTTAGGATAACAGTGATAAGGGGTCGATCTGAATATCCATATGTAGTGATGGACATGTTGGGCAGCAGCCTGTGTTTCATCCCTTAGCTGTAAACGAAGTTGCACTCAGCTATGCAAGGCTTTTTATGCTCATTTTATGTGGCCACTTTGTGTAGGCGTCAAGTTTATTACAAAATTACCCAAATACTCGTCTTTTTTTATTTGGGTACCATTCATCTATCTACCGACTGTAACCTATATGGATAACATATCCACTATTCCTTACCCTGCGCGCCATACAAGATTTATAGGTTTTGAAATTTATCGAAATATCATTAGCATAACACAAACAGCAACGAACTGTACACAGGACAGCAAAGAACCCTATAAACAAAGTAAAGCTTTAGTAATAATACCCCCTCCCCCTCTAATATCTCTATTTACCTTCATGCAGTATTTGTAAACCGGATCTTAAAGATTTGTGACCTTTAAGTATTCATATCCGTAATCCTTGCTTAGATTCACCGTTTCAGATTTGAACCGCTCATAATTTTTTTTGAACAAAAAGCTCTGGCAAGTTTTGGAATAACAATAATTTCAGTATTACCAAGGCAGTTACTATTTATACCGGTAAATTCTATATTCCCAAAAAATTTAAAATCGACAGAGTTCCCTTCCCCTTTTGATGGGCCCATAATTAACCGAAGAGCAGTACGACAAAAAATGAGAAATATCACGGTTTAGCGAGGAGATCAGAAACATCGAATCCTCCTTTCCTGGAAGCCACTGCGACCATTGTTGAAGCGGTACCTCTGACAGGTTGCGGCGTTGAATCGACAACCGATGGAGCGGTAGCTGCCACCGAGGGCAGTGATTGTGGAGGACTGCTGACCGCAGGTGAGACCACCGAAGGGATGGCCGCTCGACTGGTGGCTGGGACCGGGAGTGGTGGCCGCAGCAAATACGGTGAAAAATGTACAGCAGCAGCGGCGGCGGCAGCGTGATGCATGAAAAAATCCCGGGGAAACGCCACCGCCGCTGGGGGGAAGAGGAATTCGTTGGAGGGGTGAAACCCGTAGTTTTGAAAGAACGGCGAAAATGGTGGTGGCGGAGGGCCACTGCCCGTGGTGATCCCGTTACCGGCACCCAGTCCACCGCAACCTCCGCTGCCGGGTGAGTGAAATAGGTGGAAATTGGTGCCTTCTTTGGACGATAAAAAACGATGATTTTGCTGCTGTAGCTGTTGCTGCTGCTGATGCTGGTGGTGATGATAGTGCAGCTGACGATGATTCTGGTTACTGTGATTCAGCGTCAAGTCCTCACTGCTCTGATTGCTTCGTGCTCGTTTCTGAGCTGGCAGATCCTCATCACCGTCCTCCGAGCGATCCGAATCCACCGAACTGCTGGCTCGCGCAATTGGCGACTCGTACGGACCACGTTCGTCGTTCACTGAAGCCGACTTGACAATTCCGGATGCCGCTGCATTGCATTCCGTTTTACTCATCAGCCTCTTTTTTTCACGC